GTGGTAGAGTGCTTGCCTTGCATGTCTGAGGCCCTGGGTTCGATTCCTCAGCACCACATAAGCAAAAAGAAAAAAGCCGGAAGTGGCACTGTGGCTCAAGTGGTAGAGTGCTAACCTTGAGCTGAAGAGCTGAGAGACAGCACTCAGGCCCAGAGTTCAGGCCCCACGACTGGACCCAAAAAAAAAATTCATTCACATACTTGTACATATCTTTTTTGTTTTTTTATCTTATTATTGATCTTTTGACTTCATTGTTTGAAATTTCACATCCTTTATGGGATTGTTGACATGTGGAGGAAGCATGTTGTTTTAACTTTTTATATTATTTTTTTCATTTTTTAAATTTTTCATATTAGTTGTCTTTCTATATTATTGATTTAATGCATATAAGGTCAAGATATTGTTTAGAAGTTTTAATCACATTTTCTATTTCAGTTGAAATATTCTCATTGTTTAGTCAGAATAGAGTAGTATTATGGTTAAAGTGTTATTTATCACCACTGGACAGAGTTATGGCTCAGAGGCCAAACATTTGCCTGCATGCTCAGGGAACTTGTGGCCTGATTCTCATTGGCACTTAAATCCAGACAAACTAACTAAAGTCTCTGAGCTGCTATCACTAGAGAAGCCTTCCTTCTTTGTATACTGGGAGCTCCTGTTGGCTGATGCTTTACAGCTACACACAGGGCAGGTTTCTACTTTCTGTATGTACATCCTGGTTTGTGTCCTCAAGCATAGCAAGCTTCTGAGCCTTGGTATAACTCCTGAGTATGTCAGCAAGTAGGGGAGAAACAGAACATTGAAGTCTGCACTGGGGTGACTGTCCTAATCTCTCTGCCCGCTGGTCTCAATGTTTATAGTTAAGCAGTTCAACCTTCCTTTGCAGAAGAGGCAGCTGTGGAAGTTTCATGATGAAAGTCCTCACTCTTGAATGTCAACAAACACACACCATTATGCAATTCCCAGGAAACAAGTCTCAGTGGTTTCAGACCCCAGCTGATAATTTGCCTCCTTGTAATGGCATCTCTAGCTCCCCTCCTGCTCTGCAGAGCCATATTATCTGGGAGCTGTTTTCTTTCTGCTTTTCTCTGTTGTCTCTGTTTCTCTGTGCTTTTGTGCTACTCTTCCATTTCTTTTGTGATTCCTGATGCTCTTCTTCTCTTCCTCTCTTCAGAGTATAGTCTCTCCTTTGTTACTTGACTCTGTTCATTTAGAGTGTCAAAATGGTAGATGTTTCTAATTTCCCTCTTGCCCTTCCTCTGCCATCAAATTTTAAGACGAATCAAGAAAGCTTGCAAAAACAAAAAAGGAATAAGCTTTAGTTCCATATACAAATATAACCAGCTTTTTGGTATAAAGCCATATAAAAGTATAGCTACTAATACATATATCTCTTATAGACTGCTTTTTTTAAAGTTTTAATTTTTAGTGGGAGACGTTCTACATCATCCTATTTCCTTCTCAAATATTGTGAAGTGTGCTTAGTGATTCCCTTTCCCAATTGGAAAGGACTCTTTCCTGTAGATGATGGAGTAGCAGTGTGGCTAGATGTCTTTTTGTGCAGGCCATACTCAAGTTTTATTCATCAATTTTTATTTTTTTTTTGGTCAGTCGTGGTGCTTGAACTCTGGGCCTGGGCACTGTCTCTCGGCTCTTCAGCTCAAGGCAAGTGCTCCACTCTACCACTTAAGCCATAGTGCCACTTCCAGTTTTCTGGTGATTAATTGGAGTTAAGAGTATCACGGACTTGCCTGCCTGGGCTGGCTTTGAACAGCAAGCTTCATATCTCAGCCTCCTGAGTAGCTAGGATTTTAGGTATGAGTCACTAGCACCTGGCTGACCAAATGTTTTGTGTTCCAGTTCTGAGGCTTGACCTCAGGGCCTGGGTGCTCAAAGGTAGTGTTCTACTACTTGAGACACAGTGCCACTTCCAGCCTTTTGTTAGTTGTGATAAGAGTCTCACAGACTTTGCTGCCTGGGCTGGCTTCAAATCACATTTTTCAGGTATCAGCCTCCTGAGTAGCTAGGATTGCATTCATGAGCCCACTAGTGTCTGGCTGACCAGATTTTTTTTTAAAGTACTCATGGGTTTCATAACAGATTTCTGGGCTTGGAACTGATTTGAACATGCTTATAAACCACTTAATTTGCAAAATTTTAGATGGAAATAATTTTTTGATCTACAGATAGTCTGGTGAAGCCTTCTAGGAAGAAAAAGCTTAGAATGAGCCATTTCTGGGTTTAAGTCTTACATTGGCTACTTTTTACTCTTGAGACTTGAGGCAGTTTGCTAAAACTTTCTGAAATACTCATTTTGCTATCTACAAACATCATTAATGAGACTTTCTGTGTGAGCTGTTGGAAGAATCAACTTCATATAGGTAATGTGCATTGTTCATAGTAAGTGCTCAACAAATGTCTCTTTTCTGATTTAAACAACCTCAGATGCTGCCTAAGAAATACCTCACAAATTTCTTAAATAATGAAATGTAACCACTTTAGTAAATTAATGAATAACTATAGAATCAAATGAGAATGAAGCACTTCTGAATGGACTGTGCAATCGAGCTTCAAGCTCTGTCCTGTGAGTTGTATCTGCTTCCTCTCCCAGGCTTAGCTCTCTCAACGGTTCATACAGAGACAATGAAAAGGGAACTAACAGCCACTCAACAAATCATTGATTGAGCACCTCATGAATGTAACTCTCCATTAGCATTGCCCCAAGGGGCTTCTTTAGTTCAGATGCATCTGGGAAGCTGGGCAAACACGCACTTGGGAGGCAAGCTGACTTCCAAGGATGGAGATGTTAGTAATTGAAGCAAATGCCTCAGCTTTGTGGCAGTTTTAGTCAAGGATGCTGGAGATGTTTAAGATAGTTCTCTCACTTGAAATATGGGGACAGAGGTACAGACTAAACTAAAGGCATCAATCAGTTCATAAGTGGAGATGTACATGGATCTACTCCAGCCCATGTATGCTCTTCCCTTAGCTGAGAGACTATTTATTAGTTAGGGTTTTATTAAAATATGTTTATTGCTTGTCTCCTGAATTCCTTTCTAAAAATTTTGTTAGTTCTGTGCCTTCAAGTTAAGCTTTGGTTTTACCTGGAGTGACGGCTAATGAACTGTGCATGTTTAAGAGCCAGTCGTCACTAGAACATTTGTTAGATAATAATTCTCAGTCAAGATGATTTTTCCCCCAGAGGATATTTGACAACATCTGGGATTTTTTTCTTGCTTGTTTGTTTGTTTTGAGACACAGTCTCCTATTGCCTAGACTGAGCTAGAACTCACAACTGAGATTGCAGATGTGTTACCATGCCTGACCCCTGGAGATATTTTTGATCATCACAACTGCTGCATCTAGTTAGCAGCACAGACAGGGATGTTGCTTGAAAATATATGAGACACTGGACAGTCCCACAACAAAGAACTCTAAAGCCACAGTGCCAGCTGGAGAAAGCTTGCTCCAAGTGCTCAAATAGGTGCTAGTCCTTTCTTATTAGCCATATCCTCTAACCTAATTGGTTTCCCTCCTGAGAAATGTACTTGTAGCCCAACTAGAGGGTTCAGAACCACGCATGGTACAACATTTGGAAGTCAGGTGCACTCAGCATATTCCAGTTCTCAGTGCAGTCTGCACATGAGAAGAGTATAGACTCTCCTTGGGTCAGCTTCTCCAGGGAGCAAGCTTTCTACCATGTATATATGGACAGGTGGAGTGCAGACTGCTTGAGCTTAGGAAGAGGACCTAGTTTGTCTGAGTGTGTGTAGAGGGTGTCTACCTGCCCCCTTGCTCAGTCTTAACACAGTTCTACTGCTTTTGGTACAGCTTTGCACACCTGTCTTGACCCTTCTGCTTTGGCCTTTCTCATGCCCAAGTCTTCAGGAGTGCTCCATTTGTTTCTTAGAGGTTCTCAGGATCCCACTGTCTTTGTTCCAAATCAATTATCCATCTGCTTATCATCTTTCAAAATGTTGTTGCTAGTCCCTTGTATCACTTCCTTATATATTGCTCTGTGGTTATTTTCATTAAATTTGGGGAAGGAGTGGAGATAAAGATGTGTTCAGTCCATCATCTTAAACCAAAAATAGTATCTTTATGTGTTGGATAAAAATTCCTTGAAGTATGTCTGGCCTGACAAAGACAATGTACTGGCTGCTAGAGATCTTAGCTTTAGTTTCTAGAAACAAGAATTGGGGGATGGCAACACCTAGGAGGTGGAAGAGCCCTATGACCTTAATCCCACTGAACCTTGGTTTCCCTGAGCGTAAAAGGTGTGATCTCAATCCTGTGGTGAAGATGAAGTGAAGGGTTGCTCTAGGAGGGCAGAGTCACAGGAAGGGTTTGCTGTTGCCATCTTCATGGCTACGGTCATCACCATCAAGAAAGTAAAGCTCAAGGCAATGTGTTATAGGCACAAGGATAGACTGTGGCTCTCTGGTAGACTGGCTTCACCCAACAAATGAGCATGTATACCGACTGCCTCATTTTCTTGCCAGAGGCCTCCAGCTTGGTTGGCAGAATGGTGACCCACTGGCCAATTGGACGGGGCTCTTTAATGTCACCGACAACCCAGCAGTGGCAGTGCAGAGCGGCAGTGACTCCAGCTCCAGGTACAGACCCCAGAAAATGGCTTGAGGGTGGGAACCCATCCTGTGGGAATCCATCAGTTCCTGTCCATTGCCTGTCCTTGGAGATGTAATGCCTTGTTCCAGTGTCTCCATTGCTGTGTTTTGGAATCCCACCTATTCCCTTTTACTCAAGGCGTAAGTCGATGTGAAGTGAGAGGATTAGATCCCAACCTCAGTGAAGTAGGGACTCTCTGGCTCCTTCTAAGTAGAGTGGACTAGAGCCTTTGGGTCTCAAGTCTACATTTGAAGGTAGATACCTACAGCAGGGAACTCAGATGTCGGCTGGAATGTGGATGACACCAGGGGTGAGTGCTGGGTGAGGGCTCTCTGCTCCTCTGAAGTATAGTACCTAGTGAGACTGCTGTTGGCTAGAACAGAGCCACTTTCATGAAGACAGCACTGAGGTGCCGCATTCATACCATCACACAGTTATTTTCTCTTGTTCTGTTGTAGCCTGTTGAGCCAAAGTCCATAATAAAGGGCATGCTGCCTACTCAGGAGTAGGAGCTCAGTGATGTTTGTTGGTTAAGTGAAGGTGGAATATCCTTAGGTAAAACTGCTTCTTGCAGGGATGGTTTATGGAGAATTTCTTTGGATAAAGAAGGATGTTCTTATTTACTTGGAGCTGGATATGGCTGGAACCACCTAGCTAAGGGTGTTTAGGGGCTGATTAAACTGTTAAGTTCTCTAATGTTTTTTTATTTCTAAGGATGGGTTAACTTTCAGGTTCACTTTCTGAGAAAGTAGTTTGGGTTTTCCTATTGGTTGCTTTTGATGTTTAAACTTGAATTAGACTTTTCAGGAAAGAAGTAGTATCAGGGGACCCCTGATAGGTATGTTTTTGTTTAATGTTTTCAAAGAGTAAGGCGTGACTGCAATGTCACAAACTAGGACTTACAGAATTCCCTGTACGAGTTGGGGGAAGAGGTGTGTGAGATGACTCAAGGTTCTGATGATGGTCTCTTGGGCTCATCTTCCCACATATGAGTGTTAGTAAACATGGCCAGTCACTTGACATTCTTGAACATTATAGGAAGAATGAGTAGTCCATAGTTGACCTCCAGATATTGAGCATCCTTTGTTGGCTTATCTGCTATGTGTCTTCCCTGACAGATGGGAGGTGGTCTGAAGCAACTGAGCAAGTGTCCATCTTCAAGGGAACCTGGATTCAATGGATACTTGAGAAGGTTAGAAAATACTAGAGTAGTTAGGACAGAAAGACCCTGAAAGGCTGTTTCTGGTCAGTGTCTGAAGCCATTGCATTGGGTTCTGTCTTTGCCTTTCTCTGCTGTCAGTATAGCCTTCTTCCTCAACATTTGCTCTTATTCTTTTGCCTCCTTACTCTTCCTGTCTTCCTCTCCCTTTCTCCTGCCACCTTTCTTGATTCACCTTTCATTCTCCTTTCCATCCATTTTCATCTCCATTATTGTTAATTTTCTCTTCCTCTTCTCCTCCCAGTGACTCAGGCCAGCCTTCCCTTCCTGCCACTGAATCCTCAGGGTCAGAGATACGACTGGCTTCTGTCCATTTGGTTTTAGAATTCAAGTGTGCCCTTTATCCAATGTCATTACTAGCTGACTTGACTTCCTTTTGGAGTGCTTCCATTTGACCAAGAATTCCCTTAGTCACAGAATAAATGTCATGACCACACATCCTGAATTTCACTTAAGGACAATTTCAATTTCCAATATCAATTGCTTGTTAACTCCCAGATTGCCTACATTTGGAGAAAACTGTCCTATATGTTATTTCTATGTGTAAGCAATGATGATTAAAGGAACCAAAAGTGCGCTATACATGGAAGATTCTTTGATCTTGGTGAGTGAGCGGTTTGTGCCTTCTTTAAAATGGGTTGGGCAGCTCCTGGCAGCAGATTTTCAGGGCTTGGGGGAGGATCTTAATGAGGATATCATGTACATCATCCCAGTTAAAACTCTCCATGTTGGGGATCTTGAATGCTCTTTGTGGTATTATTCACTTATTGAATAATTCAGTGTGTGCCATATTTTTCTATCTATAGTTGTGTGGTATGTGGAAGTGTGGTGCAACCTGTTATCATTTATTATTAACTGGGCTGGAAGGGAAGTCAGGAAATACCAAATATAACCAAGGATAAAGCGGAGCAAAACAGCAGATGATTCATATACCCTAAGCTCAAGCAGGAGCCATAAGGGGAAGAAGTCAGTCCAAATGATTAGTCTGAACCCCCCAATGAGACTGCAAGGAAAGTCCGGGCCAGATCCTACACGTCACAGCTGTGGTCAGATCTTTTCATTCAGTACATGCTTGGGGAAAGGCCAGGCTGAATTGCACAGTATATAAGCTAGAAAATGTACCTTGATATATAACTTTGTGAAGTTAAAATCTAGGCCTACGAAGTGTTGTCTAATAAGCATCCTTAGGGGAACTGCTTTAATGAACAGATAGGGACAATATTTAATCAGCAAATGTTTCTATTTAAGTGGCTTCTTTGATCAAGTAGGACAGTCTTTGAGGACAGTTCTTGGCAAATTCAGTTTTGGGGTTTTTGTTTGTTTCACCTCAGCTAGACAAGATTGTGCTTCTTCTTAAAGTTCTCAGCACCCATGATGGTACCTGACATGTAAGAGATGCTCAATAAATGCTGATTCAATGGAAGATTGAATTAATGAACTAGAAAAGTATTGGTAATAAAAACTTGAATGTTTCCAAATCTCCCCTTAGAGATTTATTCTTTTGGATTCAACCTTGTCTTCAGGCACTGCCATTGAAAAACTGTCTCTAGGAAGGAGAAACACTTTAAAGTCATAAACTTACTCTCAGGTTGAAACTGTCAAATGATTTTTTTCTTGGAAAGAGCAGATGGCAGTGTAACCTAAGGGTTCTGGACTACTGTGTAAAGATCAGGAAACCAGAAGTTGGGGGTGGGAGAGTGAGAGAAATGTAGAAGATGTAGCAAAGGGAGAAATGTAGTTCTGTGGTAACCAAATGAGATATCTCCTAACCCCCTACCTCCTACCACACTCTGGGGAGAGGCAGGGCAGAGCATGTTCCCTCCCTAGTCAGCTCAGTGTCTTCTAGCCTATCCCAGGTATCTGTCTTCCAGGAACTGCTCTGGGGGTAGAAGCAACTGTCTCCTTGGTGGTTTCAAGTCTTACAAGGTAAACACATAGAGGTTCTGCACTGGAAAAGTACAGCCCCAGATTTCATAGTGGGATTCCAGGTATGGTGGTAAGGGCAAATGCTCCTGAATTGTGGGCCCCTTGGGGATGGTTTGGGATGAGCCTTTCTAGTCAAATTTCATTTTGATAGAAGTGACAGAAGGGACAGAGCTCCTGAGCCCCATCCATCTGAGAATAATTTGTACAGTCAGGTCTGGCAGAATATTCTGGGTAGGGTGCTAGAAAAACAAGCACAACAAAAATGGTGGCTTCTCCCTTTCCTCCTCTGCATCTGATGTGGACCAGACTTCAGGAGATTTGGCTGTTTCAAGTGGGGGTTTGGTGTGAGGAGATTTCGGATGTTTGCTTCACGAGCACCCTGAACCCTTAGATATGAAGACTTTAGTTGAGTCTTAATGAATTAAAGTGTTCTGGGCAAATAACTGCCTATATAAACTTTCTGTGCCTCGGTTTCTTCATCTGTAAACTGGAGACATTAAAGCATCTCTCAGGTTGATATTGAGAAGATTATATATTCTGTAGCTGGCTCACAGATCACTGCCACTCAGTCCTGGGTAGGGTCCCCAGTCTGGGCCTTATAGGTGGAACCTGATTTCAGATTTGCCCTGGACTCTGGGCATTATCCTGCAGAAGTAGCATCACTTCTCTAGGTTTTCTCTCTTTGAAATGGAAGGGAAGACTGAATTGAACTTTTAACTTCACTTGTTTTTTTTTGTTGACTACAAAATCACTCATTTTGGAGGTCACACAGCTGAGTAATATATTCTTAGTTTCCTGCAAGCTTTGCTGTAGATCACACCTCTGATGTGTGGGTCATGGTGATAATGGTTGCCTAGGTTACTTTTCAGGTACTTGAAGGCTGCTTTTATGAAAACCACCAGCTCTTCACTTGAGCCTGCACAGTTGTCTCATGGGTGACTCTTTGGCATTAGGAGGCCAAAATCTCCTCAAATCATGCTAACACTGCTTTTTCTAAAGATGCATCTCCAGAAGGGCCATGAAGATTGATTATGTATTCACAGACCACTGATTACTTTCCCTCCCATCACTTTCCTCCTTGCCTTAAATTGCACTGCTTCTATATTCCATAAATATCCCCAAACTCTATCCCTGGGCAAGGTGGATTTTTAAGACTTTGGTCTCTGCTTTTTCATATTTGGCTGCTTTGCAAATAGACTGTCTTTTGGAAAAATTCATCATTTCAGTGATAGGCGTTACATAGGGCTGGTACGGTAGCATCCTTCTCTGTTAAAGGGAGGAGGTCGGGTCACCCTACTCATCCTAGCCAGCTCCCTAAACTTCTTCTGCCTTTATTCACCATCACCTACTCTTCCTCTTCCCCTTCCTCATATTCTGAACTTCCTGTCTCCTCCACTGTCTTTAAGAACACTGTACTATGCATTTGGCAAGGAAGAAGACTTTGAGCAGTCAAGATAGAAAGAAATGAAGAATAGAAAGAAAGAGGGATGATGGTTGGGTTTGAGAGGACCAGTAGCTTGGAGAAGGCTTGTGATTGTCCACTAGAAAGTAGAAGTTCTAGAAGCACTTAGTACCGCATAACCTGGCATAGCACTACAACCTCCCCAACCAGTGGTCACTAAGACTGTATTAGGATAGAAGGCCATGGAGGCTCACAAAGCCATCCTTTATCATGTGATCGGACCACCTTGTTAGAATGGGCTTTTTTAGATTGAGTGTGAACTTTCCTTCCCTAATGCTTGGCTGGACTTGAATTTAAGCCTATCCTTTCTTCTTCCTCCTGCTGGCCTTCCATATATTGGAGCACTCTCCCCAGAGCCCTCAGCTTCTACCCTGCAGGAC